GAAGTGCCTAACCTGGAGGGAGCAATTTTTGCTAAAGTGGCCAACAAGGCATTAAGGGTTGATAAGGCGGAGAAGAAGGTGTTGGAGGGAAATAATGGAAGAAGCTCATAACACTCCTTATTCAATACACCCCGGTACTAGCAAGACATATAAGGATTTAAACGTTCAAATTTGCTCGTATTTTCATACTTAATACGTATAACATGTTATGTTAAGATTAAGGGAAGGTTAAGAAGTAACACGACTTAATATGACTAATTTGATAATTTAGAGCCATATTAGGGGGGTGTTACAACAACCTTATCCAACCTCTATAAATAGAGGAACTACACCCTTTAGAAGGGACTTTATGCCATCTTACTTACTATTATTATGCCGAAATTCCTTTAAAAATATTGTACTCAAACAACTTTGTAAGCCTTCGATTGAAGATAGTGAACAACCCAACAGTGGACGTAGCCTATTCAAAGGTGAACTACTATAAATTCTAGTTTAGTTATTTATTTTCTGTACTGAATTCATTTCATAGTTATATATTATGTCATTTTCTATCTTAATCATATGTAGTTAATGATGTTGAAGATAATAACAATTATCAATAATCCTGAATTCGAATCATTATGATTTTCTTAATTGATTTAATCTATTTCTGATTGACTGTATATCGCAACGTCTACATTCCCCTACCTAGCAAACTAGTGCATCCGCTCCCTCACCCCATCGCCCCCAAACCGCATTCCCATAGGCCTATTACCTGCCCTCGTCGGACTCACTTTTACCCAACCCACAACGCCTACCTAAAAGAACACCACCCTTCTATTCTAACGCAATAAGTCATCGTTGAATCTGCCTCCACCCCAACTTCAGCGTACGAGGTCGCCGTCACGTGCAACTTGTGCCCCCCTTTACATGTTAAGGTATGTCGCGCGCTTCCCCGACAAGGCTGGCCGAGATTTGACTTGGCGTTTTATTTGTGAAGAAAAAGAAGAGGGAAGAGAAGGAGATTACCGAGTGTTTTTTTTTTTTTTTTTGGATAACAAATTTGTTAAAGAAATTTAATGCATAGTAATCTTTTTAAATGGGTTAATCAAAAATATTATTAAAAGAAAATGTATATATGTTATTATGAATGGTATCCTAAAAGTATGAGATTTAATAAGGATTTTAGTATATATTTAACATATAGTAGAAATTTCCTTATTTTATGCTCATGTGTATTTTATATACTTTGTGAATATCATTAAAATTTTATGATTATTTATGTGACCTTAAATATTGTATATAAGTGTTATATATTAAAGAATAATATTTTAAGAATAATGATCAAAATAAGTCAATAATAAATTTAATTAAAGTTTAGCATCTTTAATTAAAATAATATTAATATATGTCATTCTCATTAGGAATAAAACGAGCTTATCCGCATCGTTGATATGGAGAGATATTAAATGAATGTATTTTATATGATGAGATTATGTAGGACTAAAACAAGATATAATATATATTTATAATAATTTCTGTTAGGTATACAAATTCTAATTAAGTCTACCGTATTCACAAAGTACATTTTAAAATTGCCCAAGTAGACTTTGAAAACTCTTTGGGCCAATTTGGGCTTCCTGAATGAATTGGTCACTTTTCCTGTTGGTGGGCCTTAGGAACTATTCATGGTTAATAAGGCTCAAAAGTAAGCTTTCATATGAGTTTAGCATTTCAAGAATTTACTTTAATTAAACATAAATTAATTAATTAGTACTGTTATTTAGAAAAAATAAATTAAATAAATTTCTGAGATTAGGAATTTAATTCCTATCTATGAACTTGCTAACGCATAGTACTCAAATTCCTGTTGGGTATTTGATACAAAATTAAACCTTCCTACTTAGCCAACAAATTTTTAAGACATTGAGATTTTTGAAGTTGAGATAAGTACAAATCTCACCAACAACATCAATAAAATGATTTCCATAGTAATGTGCTATGTTTGTGTGTACGGTCACATGCTAAGATTATCATGTTATTATATGACATGTATGCATTAATGGAATGTTATTACGTACATAATTACAATTAACATTTATTATGAAATTCTAATATAAATATATACACACATATACATATATATAATTATGCCACGATGCATCACATGATAAATCTTGATATGTCAATTAATACATGATTAAACCTAGTTAGAGGCTAATGTAGATAGGCTAATGAAAGATAAGTTTAGTGTCGTACTAACCTTTACAAAGAAGGATCAAGATTATGTTTAATCATCACAAGGAAGAATTTATATCATGTTAGGATTTCAGTGTCGTTAGGGACCTTATAAATCCCAACCTCCTGAAGATCTCACGCACCTTATACGTACACATTGGCCTTATAAATGAAACAAAATCCATGATAAAGCATAATTTAGCATTGCATATTCATTCATTACGGCTGCAAATGTTTTGTGAGAAAAAATTTGTAGTTGTTATGTATGTTCATGTTGTAGGTAATTCGAGTAAGACCCCGTATTTTAATCTATATAACGGATTTACGTGCTAATACGAAGGTGATGGATGCAAAAATTATGGATACCACTATGTTAAGAAATATACTATTCTATAAAATATTACTACACTAGTTTGCTAAATATATTTTCAAGATTCGGACTTAGTTATGATATTATGTAAACCAATCTATTTGTAAAATCTAATAATAATATATTACGCTAGGTACGCCGTGTACATTTCGGATTTGACTCACTCGATTATGTCATGTAAACTAACTTGTAATACATAACTATAATAGTCCAAAATAATTTCAATACTCATCACAAGTCAAGTTATATATATAAGGACCTTTTCTGTTAGGTCTTCCATCTCTCTATTAATTGTGTCAGTTTCTCAATAATAAATTTAATTAAAATTACATTAAATTAAAAAAAATACAAAATAAATAAATGTTAATATAAATTTAACAATTAAAAATTAGAAAACTATTGATAATTTATTTTTTTTATCATCCTAAAAAAACCTCCTATATATATAATGTTCCATAAATTCTAGATATTAAGTTAAATAATACGATTAAAGTAACGATCATTTTGTCGTCACACACCACCAAACCAGATTCTACACCCTTTCAATCACATCCCTCCGTGATCGTTTGAAAACGGTCAATATTTCCAAACTCTCATCTGGATCAAAGTGGTTGCTGAAACACTTCTAAAATTCAACTTAACATTCAACCTCACAGGAAGCTATCATATTGCTTTTGAAACTCTTAACAAAATTTTATTTTTTTATTTCTTCTTTCTTTTTTTTTTTTGGATAAAGTAGTCAAATCGAACCCACATTCTTTCAAACCTAAATCCCTCTGCGTTCTACTCTATGTCGTTTCATTTAGCGGTCATAATTAACTTCTTTTTTCCTATTTAGGCAAAGATATCATGACAAATTTTATTAATTTCTCTTGAACTTTATCACTTGTGTCAACATACCTTATGAACATTAAAATATACATATTGTGCCTTCTGAATTATGACGGCCGGCAGCGTTTGAAATTGGTCTCGTTTTTGTTTTTCACGTTTTTCGAGAAAGAAAAAATGAAAACGTTTTCAAAACGACGTTTGGCGCAATAAAGACAAAAAACAGAAATGAAAATGATTTTTTAGTTTAGTGTAAAATGAGAGAGAAATGAAAAATAACTTTTAGTTGTTTTTCATTTTTTGTTTTCGTTCTCTCCTCTCTCGAGCTGAGAGAGAAAGAGACATTAATGGGTTTTTTACACTGAAAATAATCTCTTGATAAAACTACCAAACACATTTTTAAAAATGATTTATGTCTGAGGTTAAAAACGTTTTCATTTTTATTTTTATATAAAAAATAAAATTATTTTAAAACGAGTTCTAAACGCATTTTTCTCCTCCGTCTGGCTTCAAAATCCATAGATATAACGAGGCCCAAATCCTTTTAACTCCCACTAAGTTTCAGAAAGATTAAACCAAGCATAACATTATCACCCATCATATGTTGTTAATTACATTCTGTCAGTCTGTACATAAAGTCCCTAATAAGTATTCAAAATGTAGTTAAACCAACTTGCTAGAGAATCTTTAGCTGAATTTAGCAACAATCTGGCTGGCTAGCATAAAGTGGGTTTTAATTCATAATTAATAGTTAGATGAGACAAGATGTTTTGAGTTAGTTGAGGCAGTGGGCTTGGCAGGTATGAATGTGATTGAAATATCAATCAAGTTTTTAAAATTATGAATTTTATCATTCAACAGAACGTGCCGTGGGCTCCATTTTAATGTGATTATGTTTTCATGTTTTCTATGTTAATCATGTAATAATTAAGATTATTTTATCGTTTCAGCATTTCCACATAGCATCATTGATTGCATTAATGAACGATAATAATTCATAAATATATTAATAACTAGTTTTTCCTTGGAACTTTTTTTTTTTTTTTTTTGGGTAAATGCTGATCCTTCCAATTATGTTTATCGCCGCTAATTCTCACTTTAAACTTTTACCACAAAAAGTAATAAAAGAAAAGGGCAGTGTGTATCATACCAACCTGGGATTTTTTTCTCTTTTTCTTTCAATCATTTTTTTTTGGGTCCGGTTTTGGACGCACTTTGTCATTTATACATGCCACTAGTTGTAATTGAAATTTTTATAACTTAGAATAAGAAGAATAATATACAGAAGAAAACTAGAAGAAAAATTTTACTTGAAAAATTCTAAAAAAGTATATATTATGTGGTACCATGCATATTCTAGCAGTAATTTTACATCTGATTCTATAAGTATAAAGTTTGATCCGCCACACTCAGGGCTCGTTTAGTTCGCTGATTCGAGTTTTTAATTCGAGTTAAGATGTGACTTTATATGAGAACTTTTTACTGTAGTAAAAAATTTAAATGTGATTGTTTCTGAGAGCTTTTTACTGTACCAAAACTCGAATTCTAAACTCAAATCAGTGAAATGAACGAAATTTACGCGAAGAAGATAAAGTACGTAACGAATAACCATTCAGCAAAGGATCCGACATCTTCCAACGAAATAGGAACACAAATAATACAATTGTCTTCAACGCTTTATACATATATTTTGAAGGTGTTTCAAAATCTATAGATTTATGGGATTCAATCTTCATCAAGTTTTATGTTAGGCCAACCTTGATCTGCTTGTAATTTGACAAACTCTGCTAGAAGCTTAATTTCGTCATCCAACAAACGAGCTCCAAATGTACATTGGCCTTTGGGCGTGCAATTTTCTCCGAAGCCCTTCAAACAATGCACGAAATATAAGATAACACCTTCCATAAACAAATGAAAATTTGAAAAAATCAAAAAGTTCTGGCCCCAAGAGAAACGAAATTAACGGTGTAATTTGCCCAATACTCCATTATTTTAGAAAGAAGTGCAAGTTTGGCTACCCGGATAACCCAGTTTTGGAAGCCCATTTAGGATTTTTGAATAACCCAATTTTTTATTTGTAGTATGGTTATTTTCCGTTTAATATGAGAATATTCGTTGAGAAAAATAAACCTTTTATAAAAAAATATTATGGTAGATTATGATAAAAATCTACCAGCTTTCTCACCAACATCGGTGATCGAAGACTGCCTTCTAGCATCTAGCAGCATCTGGTAGATTACTGGTAGTAACCTAGTAAATTATCTTTTTGACGGATAGTGTAATTCAGTAAAATGTACAGCGTTCGCCTTTGATTAGTTCATTCCCGTTTGGTTAGAGAATTCGTTCTCTGATTCGAATCATAGTTCATGATTCGCTACAGTATTTTCTCTCACAAAAAACACACGTAAATCAAAAATAATTCTAATCTCATGGTTCTAATCTATGAACCAAACAGACTCTAAAGGGCTATTCAAATATCAAGGGAAAACATCCGAAAGTCCCTTCTTTAATGGTATTCCTAATTAAGTTTGCTCTTATTGAACTTAGTGGGCGTGAATATGATCACACATAAGATATAAGTCGTGCTGAGTCGATTGGACTATTCGGGTTAGGATGCGCTCATCAAATTTCCGGTTGATTTAGCGTATTTACCAGTCACCGGTGACGGTCGCTGGTCACTGGCCAGGTGCCGGCAATGGTGGATCTGACCAAAGGGAGGGAAAGAGATGGTATTTTTGGTTTTTTTTAAAAGTGTCGAAAACTTAAGTTATTAAATTATGCTATTTATTACCTATAGAAAAATTATGCTATAATTTTCTCTCTTTTATATAATTGATCGGGGTTGCTTGCCGTGGCTAGGCAGCCCTATAATTTTTATTACTAAAATACTTACCGGCATTCTTCCCTTGCCAAAATATGTAACACGGTAAATCTCCTCTTCCGAGTCAATTCCATTTCTGCACAACAAAACGTAATGAACATGAGGTAAGAACGAAATGAAAATAGAAAACAAAAGCGGGACTGTTACAGAAATCATGGCATGTCATTAGACTGTGTTTGGAAGTAGTTTAATGTTCGAAGTTGAACCGACTACTGACAAGTTAAAAAGACGAAGATTATACTGATTTTAGAACCGGCACAACTACTATAATTACAGTTTACCAAACACTCAGCTGATTCTTGTAACAGCTGCTTCTTCCTTCAGTACAGTTAAAAGTAATTTTTCTAAAATCCACAGCCCTACCAAACTAAGCGGAAGACTATACTCTAAGAAATTGTGTTTGTTCCTATTTACCCGTCTTATCTTGGAGAATCACAACTACAAATATTCAACCAAATATGTAATGGAGTTGATTAAGTTCAATAGTTTGGTACAAACAGTACTATTGTACTAAAATCTGTATATATTTCAAATTAGTACTTTGAAGAACAAGTGTTCTTGTTTCAACTCGATCGTCGCATTTGATTCCATCTTCACTATGAAATATCAAGTTCATAACACAAAGTTATGCAGTCACCTCTGGAGATCTTTCAAAAAGAGTGTTGCACCCTGGAAACAAGAAAAAGATCAAGAAGAAATAACCGAGTAAAAGACGAGAGAAAGAATTAAATAAAGCAATGAGTTATAAAAGATTCTCACTGGTTGTATTATGTTTCCTCCTCCGTCATGACAGCCAATGCAAGCTTTTCGAAACAACGACGCTCCTCTTTGTACATCTATGGTTTGTCCAAGTGAATCTGCACAAGAGAAGCAGCTTAAAACCCAAATAAAACAGTCATAAATCTTTTCCGATGCATAATATGTAATAAAGTTTCGCAATTAAATGAGATGAAAAAATGTGCGACTTGGAAAGAAAATAATTACAATACGAACTGAATGCTTGAATGATAACAAGAAGCTCAAAACGCAATTCAAAGCAGATGAAGTTTTCAAAAGAGGTACCATATGGCATATGGTAACAACGTCCTCTACCATTCATATGGAGGAAAAACGAAATAGAAAGAAAACTTTAAATGCTTGAATCCACAAGAGACAAAATAGGTCGGCCATGGATGTTCCAAGAGATGAACTAGATAACTTTTAGTATGTCGTCAAACCTGGACTTTTCGTATTTTCTGCCACAAGCCTACGACTCTCGCAGGCTTAAGTGGAAGTAATCATGACATGTGATTTCGCAACAATGCAGAGCTAGGTGGTAAAAAATGCGGCACAAAAATAGCAAGTGCTGTAAAGAAAAATGTATACAATTAGGCCAAGTAAGATGGGACTTTGTGTTTTATAAAAGATAACCACTTATGATCTGTTGTCATATTACTACCACATTTATTTATTTATTTACTTCCTCTTTTCTACCTCTGGACAGTTGTAACAGGTTCAAGATTCACATTCAATTCAACCACATCTTATTGGGTTATGGTTGAAAGACCTGGTCCTGTTCTTAACATCTGCTATCCAAGTATCTTCTACAAATCCCTTGTACATTCTTCTCCAAGACCAAGAATAATGCTTAACTGAATGATATTGAATTGCAATGCTTCAATAGTATAAAAAGGGTGGAGATATTTTCTGAAAGGATACAGTTACTGTTTACTGTGTGGATGATGACAGATGCAGAGTCAACTGTTTAAAAGATCAATGATATTTCTTCTCAATAGAAGTGAGCCAAGGATTTTGCACTTTATGCAAGGATAAAAATTAACACTAAAAATCAACTTTCTAATCTTCTTCTTGTCTTGGGGACTTTTTCCCCTAGACCTCTTCAAACTGATAAAAGGGTTTGGTCTTGTCATGCAGATGGCTTTTCATGTAATTCTTATTTTGTCCCTATGGTCAAAAATCTATACCTTTTCCCTTTCAAACCTTATAGTTTCATTTGGAAATCTTGTGCTCCTGTTTGAGTTACGGTTTTTGCTTGGTTGTTTTTTCACACAAGACTGAACACTTGTGAATTAGTGCAGAGAAAACATCCTCTTTCTAATTTGTCCTCTAGCTGGTGCGTTATGTGCAGGGAAAGTACAGAATTGGTGGACCATTTGTTTCTTCACTGTAAGTTGGCTCGGAGTATGTGGTGGAAATTTTTGGGTGCTGCAGAGTTGAATTGGTCCATTCCAGCTCATAGCAATTCAGTTCTGCTGAGGACTGGTTCCAATGTGGCCAAAATAAGAAGGAACAAACTATTTGGCGCGCTATGGTTTCGCCTATTCTTCGGTTAATCTGGTTGGAGCATGATAGAAGGATAACTGAGGACAAGGATATGGTCATTGAAGATTTATTTTAGAAGGCTAAATTCTTAGCTTCATTATGGGCCTCAACCGATCCTTCGTCGAAGCACTTTCCTTTATCCTTGAATCTTATATAGTTGGGATGATGTTTTGGAGATAGGTTTTCTTTTTATTACTGCCTTGGTTGTATTGAGTCACTTTTCTTGTCTTGTTTTTTTCTTTCTTTTTAGATGGATTCCTCATCCATCTTCAAACTTCATTTGTAGTCTTTTTCATTTAATGTAATTTCTTTGGTTTTTTTTTTATCGAAAAAAAAAACGATGTCATGAAACTGAAATGAACCCGATGCTTAAACTTTGGTTTGACTAGTAAAAGGGGATAGCTGATAGAGTAATGAAAGGAAAAATTGGCTTCTTTTGGAGCATGAGAAATCAGTCACTAAGCATGCCACAACAATCGCCTCATACTTATGATTTTGAGTTTCTAAGACCTTTGATAATATACTTTTTTTCTTCTTTTTACTTTTCCTTTTCAAATTGGAGCTAAGAGCTTGTTTGGCAGGAGGGAAAAGTGGAAGGAGGGAGAGGAGTAAAGGGATTAGTGGAGGGATTTTGGGACTCTCCAAAGAGCCACAATTTTGATCTCTTCTTATATGGGAGATTGCGAGAAGCATAATCTACAATACGGGATTCCCAAAGTTATTCATATGACATCAAAAAACAAATCCAAATCTCCCCAAGTAGGATTTAAACCTACGACCAGTCAGTAACAGCCGACCGCTCTACCATGACAAGAAAGATCTTTTTTATCCCATGATTCATCAAGATAAGAACCTAAAGGTGGGGATCTCCGCAAGATAAAAAATAAAAACAAAATATAATAGCAATCAAACAGGCGTTAATTAGTATGTTTAGCCTCAAAGATCGCCCAAAAGAAAATCCTTAACTAAAGCCAATGCGTGATAATGGACGCCATTATTTGTGGGGATGTCGTGCAAAATATAAACAGAAATTTTAGAGGAAGACCAAAAATGGAATATTTTGAGCTACAAGTGGAATTGGATGCTTATATAACAGTAGGATTAATTCTGGGATTCTAAAAGAAAAGCATGGAAAGTACAATATTGTTTTGTAAACAAGTAAAGGGATAAACCTCAGAAGTACGAGGTGGAATTTACCTGGGATGTAGCCGATTGGAGATAAAGTCAGAAGCGCAGCCATTAAAGGTGGAGCTAAGCTCTTAAGAAACTTCACTTTATCATGACGTTTTGGAACTGGGTTTTGCGCCTTCTTCACATTATTACCCTTCGAACAAACTCAAACATCTACACATGGACAACATATATATATATATATATATATATATATTTAAAAGAGAAAGACACGAGGAATGGAGAGATACCTTTGGAGGACAAAAGGTAGAACCCTTGCAACAATTGGGCGTAACACATAGAAGCTGCATCTCTCTCTCTCTCTCTCTCTCTCTCCAAGAGGATGGGTGGAAAGGATAAGGCGAATGAGGCAAATTACCGAGCTGGACTCTGACTTGTACCAAAGTTATGCAGTTGTGCAGTTGCTTATACGAAAAACAAAAACGAAAAAATAAATAAATTTATTCATAAATACCGTGGACTTTATATCTTATTTCAACATGCTTTCAAATCTTATAAGAAGGACTCACTTTATCCTCTGAATTATGTACTAGTTTCAAATGTCCCTTCTATTTATAAAATTTATAAAATGATGAAATGATACTATTAATGCTTTTATAAGTTAACTTACCCTCTAAATTATTATTTTTATGTCAATTTACTCCCCAATTTTTTGAAAAATTAAGAGACAAGTTATACAAAATCAATAATTCAGGAGATATTTATGAAGAAAAAAAATTAATTCAAGAGTTATTTTGAACCACTTCTCATATTTAGATGGTGAAATTAAATATTTTCAAAACTGGTTCCAAAAATTTTTTTCCAACCAAAATATGAAACATAATTTGGTCGCCAGAAACCATTGCAACTAAAATTGGTCACCAAAACGCCTGGTTTTAGCCACCAAAGTCTTTACATGACTAAAAATTGGTCCTAGAAACTCAACGGCGGCCATCACTTTTCATAGTTTTTTTCCGCAAATTTTTGTTGCGACCAAAATTTGTTCGCAAAATCAGTAGTTTATTGCAACTAAATTTTGGTCACAAAAGCTTTCTGGGACCAAATAGAATTTGGTCGAAAAAAAAATTTTCTGCGACCAAACTTCCACGACCAACTTGGGATCATAGATTTTTTATCGAAGAACTTTACCTAGGAAAAATCTGGCTTTCTGCGATCAATGTTTTGGTCACTTTTGCCTTCATTTCTTGTGGTGATCTTGAAAAGCCCATGGGATTGCTACCATTAATAAGCTTCGCAGTATCACTTTTAAGGCTTCTCACATATTCGGAAAGATAATAAAGTTGCAAGATTGGTTGTTTTGTTTGTGGTTTTCACATCCTCTGTTTGTGGGCAATTTTAGCGTAGCATGCTATGCATGGCCTTCAAGTTATAAATTTGAATAATTAATCCAATTAAAAATTCAACGATAAACACTTTTTTTTTTTTTTTCCTTTTTGGAATTTTCTCTCTAGGTTTTTCTAGTTAGATTTTAATGAGATCTGTCAAGGATGAGGTCTATCAATGGGAAAGTTTTCAGCTTAGCCTTCTACCACCATCTTTTGGTTTTGGTGCGTTTTCTTTCAAGTGTGGTCTTTCGCTATCTTTTAACAGATTAATTTTTACTGGAACTTCATATTCTATTCTTTACTCATTATTGTGACAATATTATTTAGCACGTTGTAAGCTTGGTACAGGATATATAGTTATATTAGAGGTTGTTTACCTCCATTAATCCACTTCTCAACCGAAGAGTCTTACATGATCAGGTCATGATATAATTATCGTCTTAATTGATCGTAATACCATAATGTAAATTTGTAGTACTAATGATCCTGATTAGGTCTTACATTCACTTAGTACTCTTCAACCAAACCACCACTTGATAAACGACTTATATCTTCATTAACCCTTCTGCAGTTTGACCTAATCTCTCCTTGTGTGCCACTCAAAACCTTGATATCCCCCATCTTGATCATTGACACCACAAATTAGCTATCAAAGAAAGCATTTTGATCGGCGCTAGCTGAAGGTGTTAACAATGGCAGTAGTGTCGGCTCCACTAGTGGAGTGGAGTTCTTGATCAGTTTGGAGAAGTCCATTCTCTACCAGGAGATTGGAGAAGTACTTGTCGTCGAAAGCGTCCCGAGTCTGACCGATCGAGATCGGTTACGACGCTGCCGTCGCCGCCCTGCGGGCATATCTGCCTGAGGGTTTGTAAAAGGGTTGTCTTCAGTGTGGGATCAGGACTGCCTGTGTTGTTGAAGTTGTACATTCTACGACCAAATGTTTGACATCGGGCTTTCCCAAATGTGTGAGCACCTAAAGATGATAATTTTGGCACAAGCTGTCAAAATCCTTGTAAAATGTCTCAAAATCTTGCTCTTTAGTAATTTACAAAAGAAAAAAGTTGTGTAGTTTTTGAATTTTAATTTTTTAAAAGATGTACAAATATACTATATATATATATACATATCGCGATGATCCGACTCGATTATCTTATGTGTTTGTATAATTATAACTTATTTATTCAATTAAGAATATATTACATGAATCATTATTACGTCAAAAGGCTACAGAACAGGGGGAAAAAAAAAAAAAAAGCTCAGTAGCCTTGGTGGTCGGGTATGCTACATGCTTCTTTGGGGTCAGAGGCTTAAGCGATGTAGATGGAGAGAGAAAAAAAAACAATAAATGAATATTGAAAACAATGATCAGCAGACTATAACAAATATAGGCCTAGTTTGTTTCGCTAATTCGAATTACAACTCAAGTTTTTGTTATAGTATTTTCTTTTATAAAAATTCAAATTTAACATCTTCTATTATAGTGCTTTCTCTCACATTTAATTCACTATTATCGTGATTTTTATGAAAACATTGTAAATTTCTGGTACGAAACTTTCCTAAACAAGTAGGTCTTGATTGAACAAGCTAGTACCTCCTAACTTACTGGACTTATTAAAACAAAGCAAAACGAAACGAAACAAGGAACAAGAAACAAAGAAAGAAATTAGAAAAGAGAACTTACCCGAGAGTGGAACCAGATCAGCAGAGTCTAGGCCTTGGTTTAAGAAGTTGGCTTTTAGTTGATCTAGTGTTAAAAAAGGACTTGGAAGGGCTTGGTTGGCAAGGGTTTGATTGGCTATTAAGCTATCCCTTCTTCATAATGGGACAGCCCAACTGGGACCGCCTGACTGCGACCATAAAATTACTTCTTTTAAGAGATACTAGTTTTGTAACACACTCCACATATATTGCCGTGTTAGAGACACCTTAAGAGTTATTGTTTATCGGATAATGAGAAATTCATTCATACAACTATCTAAGAATTTTTGAATTTATTTTAAAAAGAAATATGTGTAAAGATAATAATTGACAAAAAAAATTTAAGTATGGACACATTTTTTAAAGAAATTTTTTTAACAAATTAAAAATAAAATAGGAATACATGCAAAAAAAAAAAAAAAAAAATTACTCTCATAAGAGTAAATGAGTAACAATATATTTTTAAAAAACACACAAATAATAAAATGTAAAAAAAAAAATCACAAAATAATAAAGATAAAAAAAGTAAAAATAAATAAAAATAAAAAATAGATGGACCGTGATGTGACAGCCCTATAAAAAAGTACTTTAATTCTTTTATGTATTGTTAGATTATTATATAAAGAGATATATTAAAATATTACCACAAAATTAGTTCCCTTATAACATACTTATCGTCTTTTCTAAGCTTTTTAGAACAATTACATGCAAAGATTTTCTACAACACTCTCATTCGTTTCGCTCATTCGAGTTAAGATTTGAGTTAAAAAGTGAATTCATACAAGAGAAAATGTTGTAGCAAAAAAAAATGGAATTTGAATTTTTATGAAAAAAAACATTGTAATAAAAACTTAAGTTATGATTTCAACTAACGAAATGAACGAGACCTTCACATACTTAATGCACTGATTCCTCAGCTGCGATGGCAAGAATATCTGCACATGAGACTGCCCGGACAAGCATTCTCCAGGGCAATCTTGATGTCATCCACAACTTTAAAACCTCTAGCTGAGTTACTGTTTGCAAGGGCTTGCTTCTCGCTCACTATCGTTTCAGTGTTGTCCAACAAAAGCGATTTATCACAACCCTAATTAAACATTTTTAACAATTAAGCACGTCAAGAATAATTGAAAAAGTAATTAATAAACAAAATTAAACTCATAAAAATACGTTTACAATTGGTCAAATTCTACTTATACACGTATACATAGACTTCAGAAGGACGATCGATCGATCTTTAATTTCTTGAGGGAAAAAGACGATCTATTTTGATCCTACTGTGAATATACAAATTTGTAAAATTTGTACGCTATTGGCGGAAAAAAAGATCAAACTTTTTGAATTAGGCTTCAAGAAAAACCGGCCACTACTTTGCACATATATTCAATTTGCTTCTTTAAATTCATATACTTGTAACTAGTTGAACTAAGAATCGTAACTAATTGTTAAAATTTTTGGCTCAAATACATAGCAATGCAAAGTTTACTTGGAAGAGCTAAATCTAGAGGAAAACGCCAAAATAAAATGACCTAATTCTTGCAGTACTCCTAATATTGTGTACGTACGAATAACAAAAATTCTTCTGTACGTACAAAAAATGGTAGGTCCAAAGCTTTGTAATTAGTATAAATACACAAGTATAATTAGGCTATATACTTGTGCACGTACTAGTAACATAATGCAAACAATACAATATGTATTAATCATGTTAAAAATAAGAACAAGCTGCAGAACATAAAGCACACAGATCAGAGACATATCCAGAGAGATATGTGCTAATAGAGGTGGCGCGTATGGTGCATACAATGACAAAGCAGTCGTGGAAATGAAGGCGAACGAGGCTGGCGGCGATCCGGCGATCGGCCTGCAGAGCCTCCTCAATGATTCCACGTACAATGCTGGTGACATCGGGGCAAGTTTCATCGTAAAATGTTGGAGTTAGCTGAGAAAACCCTCCAACCACAAAAGCAGAGAAAAGGGTTACCAGAAAAGAACGTGAGAGAGCCATTTGGGTTATCTATACTCGTGGAGAAGTAGTTGTATGCATTAATATAGACGACGACAAGGTATATAAGAAGGTTGATAATTATCCCAGAACTGAATCATCTTCAATATCAAGATTAAAGAAAAAATTATAGCTTTACCCAAAAATGGAGAAAAAAAAAAGTCTTATGGATATTGTTTCACTTACTCGGCCAACTTGAGATGACTTTTCCACATAACCTTTTTTTAGTATGTTTTTTCATATAAGAGCAATGTTATAATTAATGTATTAATTGTAAATTTAACATTTGAGTACAAAAAATACTTTTTAATGTAATACTATTTGTTGTGTCAAATTTCTCATATGTTACACTTTGTGGCAAATTTCTCACTAAGTATAGCATATGAGAAATTTAGTATTTGATTACTATTAGTTAAAATGTTTACTTTTTCATGTAATCAATGCAACTTTTGCATTCTCTAAGTATTGTAAAAGTTTCAAAGCTTCATAATTATATGAAAAAGTAAATTTAGCATTTCAAATAGCATTATCAATTAGAATAAAAATGAAAATAACATACCATATTATATTTTTTAATGCTAAATATACAATTAACATTAGTATTTACATTGGAGATAGTCTAACTTTAGACAGAAATAAAAGAGCAAAAAGAATAATTTATTTTTCACATGGGATATTTTAAAAAGTTTATAAATTCGGAGAATTCCCTAAAAGCGTAAAAAAAAAAAACTATGTACTTTACCAATACTCTACATATAGTTCCAAACAATCAAATTTTCATCAATATTTTATATTGAAAATGTCTTTAAAAATAGTAGTATGTTCCATAGAATCTAATGATAAGAAATATTAGGGTGAATTAGAGGAATACCACTTCTCTATATCAAAGTAGAATTTCAAATATACATGTCACCTTTAGAAAAACTTAACCCTAATTTTTACATCAAAATATTACAATAGCTACACTTAAAAAATGAAATATATACAATTTAACTACCATGAGATACTACGATGGATAGGTACAATATTTGCGTACTCCCTATTATTTTGAGAAAAAAAAAAAAAAAAAAGAGTTCAAGATTTTTTTATATATATACTAAGAGAGATGGTAGAAAAACACATGATACACAGTATTTGAAAATTACATAGTGTATTACGTGTTCTTTAGAAGGAAAGGTCTAGAAAAATACTGTGATTGTTTTTTTAGAGTGTAACTTGAGTGTAGTTTTTGAGTTGAATTTAAGTTATAACTTGAGTTAAAATTGTAACTTGAATAAAGTTAAGTAAAGTTGAATAGAGTTGGAACTTAAAAGAACATGAACTTGAATAAAGTTGTAACTTGAGTTTAAATTTTTTTTTAGTTTTGTTACAAAAGAACAACCCCTAAAGAGTTTGGATAGTCCTCTTATTCTTTAGAGCCCATATTACACTAGGGGGTGTTTGGTATACAGTAATTAATAAAAATCATATTCTTAAAAAATTGATAGGGAGTAATATAATTTCTATGAATAATACATTACTGTGTTTAGTTTCATATAGAAATCTTGTCTCAAATTTTTAAGAATAATGCATTACTGTGTGTTGGTTGTGTATAAGAATGTTGTGTATTAAAAAAAAATAAAATTACAATTAATACTCATATATGTTAATAACATAATATTATATTTTTTAAATATTTAGCCCATAACATTAGTACTAATATTTTAAAAAGTATTAAATATACTCAAGGTTACAGATAAAATTCACTTCATCTGGATCGCAAAAGCACTCTTTTTTCTCCACAGGAAGGTCTCTTTCTTCAATGGTTTGAATAACTTGTCTACTAGTAAAGTCCAAAGAAAGATTTTATCGTTTTTAAAGGTTACAAAAGAAAAAAAAAAATTCGTGGGAGAAGAATTTTTTTGAATTCAAGGTAATTTTTCTAATCATACATATATTCTCACATTCATTGATTTGGATTCCGCTGCGGCATTTTCAATTAATGGAAAATGAAATATTTTATAATTTTTAAAAAGAAACAGTATTTCAAGATTTTTCTATTTTCATTATAATGCTCATTTAGGATTTGTTCGCAACAATTCTCATCCCCTGTTTGTGGGTGATTTGGTGTAGCATGTATATTCATGCATGGTCTTCTTACTTATAAATTTAGACCTGTTCTTTTCGCTGATTCGAGTTTAGAATTCGAGTTTTATTATAGTAAAAAATTTTAAAAAACAGTCACATCTAATTTTTTTTTTGTTACAGTAAAAAATTCTCACACAACATTACATCTTAACTCAAATTAAAAACTCAAATTAACGAACCAAACGGGTCCTAAATAGTCTAATTAAACATTCAAACATAAGCACTTTTTTTCCCCTCTTAGAATTTTCACTCTTCTTTTTTCTAGTAAGGTCTCAGTGAGAACCACCAATGTTGACCGTTATTGCGAAAGTTTTCGGCTTAGGCCCCGTTTGGGGTTACCGCGGCTGCCCACAGGAATAGATTATTGGACAAGTCTCTGCCCCTAACAGTTTATTTTAAAAGTTTGTCAGACCAGCTTTTGCCTTTTGGATTCCACTTACGGAAGAATCCGTCCTAGAGCTTGTCGATTGAAACTTCAGTTCCTAAAATGCCATAATAATAAAATTATATTACCAAATTTGCCCTCCTTACTTTTTTCTAGACATGAAAATCCTTAAAATACTACTGGCCCATAAAATCTAAAACGTGTCGGTGCAATTATTTAGCAACATTTAGAGAAAAAGAAAATCATTTTTTTAACTTTTTATGATATAAATATAGGACAATTTGTCTCAATCTTTAGAGTCATTTTAAAGTCTACAGTAATTTAGAATTATTATTTATCAATTATTTAAACACAATTATAATTAAAGCATCATCACTTTTAAAATCTAATTTATCAAACACTAAACTGTTTTTTATTACAGTTGATTTTTCACCCATCACAGCTAACAACAACTTTTATAAAAGCCAAAACAATTCCAAACTGGCCATAGCCTTCTGCCACCATCTTTCAGCATGTTTAATTATTTTTTTCAAGGAGTTCTTTTTTTTTTTGGTGCGCTTTCTTAATCCAACTTTACTCTTTTGCTGTCTTTTCACAGATTGATTTTGATTGGATCTTCATATAGTATTTCTCTTTACTTCTTTTGATTAGAATATTGTTTGAGACTAGGTAAATAGGATCGATGTTATAAACATACACCAAAGTCACGATAATTATCAACATAAGTTATCATAACATCATAATATTGCTGCATATATATATATATATATGCAACTTATTTATAGCACTCATGATCCTTATAAGGTCTTTACATTTTTCATTAAGTTGTCCCTCAGTACTCCGCAACCAAACCGCCACTTGATAAACGACTTATATCTCCATTAACCTTTCTGCAGTTTGACCTAATCTCTCCTTGTGTAGCGGTCAGAACCCCAATATTCCCCATCTTGATCATTGAAACCACAAAGCTATTAAAGAAAGCTGTCTGATTGGCACTGTAGGCGTCGACAATGGGAGCAGTGTCGGCACCACTAGTGGAGTACAGTTCTTGATCGGTTTGGAGAACTCCATTCTCTAGCAGTAGATTGGAGAAATACTTTTTGTCGAAAACGTCCGGAGTTGACTGATCGAGATTGGTTACGGCGCTGTCGTTGCCGCCCTGCGGGCATATCTGCCTGAGGGTTTGTAAAAGGGTTGTGTTCAGTGAGGGATCAGGACTGCCTGTGCTGTTGAAGTCGTATAGTCGAGTGCTAAAAAATCGACATTGAGCTCTCCCAAATGTGTGACCACCTAATTATGATGATAATTTGGCACATACATTTCAAAATCTTTGTCAAATGTCTCAAAAGTCTTGCTCTTTTAGTAATTTACAAAAGAAAAAAAAAAAGTTATGTGTTCACTTTTAATTTTTATTTACTTAAAATAAATAAAGCGCACAAATTATCTTATATGTTCTCACATATTATAACCGCTCCTATTGCAGATCTAACGTCGAAAAAATTAACCCAACAGTAAATACGCAGTTCCCACCGGTAGAGCAAAATAACTTACTCCATCATAAGGACTCCCAAGAAAGAACTAAAGAAAAAACCTACCCGAGAGTGCAACCAGATCAGTAGTGTTGAGGCCTTGCTTTAAGAAGTTGGCTTTTAGTTGATCGAGTGTAAGAAATGGACTCGGAAGGTTTTCGTTGGCAAGGGTTCGATTGGCTATTAAGCTATCCCTTCTTCCTAATCGGACAGTCCAAGAGGGACCGCTTGACTGCAACCATGAAATTAGTTTAAGAGATGTATCCATATAGAAAGATATATTATTTATTCTTATAATAAATTTTTAATATGAACATTACCAAGTTCGGCAAGATGTATATTATTATATTCACATACTTTATCAATCTTCCTTGTAACTTTTTAGTATAGCCACATATATATAATTTCTATAGTTTAACGCTGAGTAATTGTTTGGATAAATTAATGAAATAATTACATGACAAAATTTCAAATCCTAAGGCGAAATTTAGCAAAATTTTTAAAACATTATAAAAATAATATAATAATTGTATAGTAATTTAATGCTATTAAATTTGTTGTTCCTGTAATAGTTCAAAAATTTTGTTATATTTCCAATTTGCTATTTTAAATTTTATATATATATAGAGCCCTTAATTAATTAAAATGCCCAAAATATTAAATAATAAGTCCAAAGCATATTAAATATTCAACTCATGATAATAACTTAAGGAGATAAAGAGTACAATTACAGATGTTAGGTTTAAACTCACTACCTCATGCTTTAATATTAAATTGTTTATAAAAAAATATTCTCACAGCTTAAGTTATTGAGAGATGAGCTAATAATAATTTATATTTTTTAATGAATGTACTTTACCAAATTCGTCAAATTGTCCTTATGATATATGTATCGTCATTTCTCTAACTTCTTATAGTAGATGTGTATATAGAGTCCTTTTAGTAAATGTATTTAAACTTATGATTTTGATTCTGTTATAGTATTTTTTTCTCATGAAAAATTTGAATTTAAAAATTTCTCACCAATGGTTCTCTTAGAAAATTCCCATCAATAATCAGAATCACTGACTTGAACGCGTGAACCAAATAGACTCACAAATTTTCTGGGACACTTAATACACGGATATGCGTGTAATAAGTTGATAATTACGTACCAAATTCACAGATTCCTCAGCTGCGATGGCGAGAATATCTGCACATGAGACTGTGCCTGGACAAGCATTCTCCAAGGCAGTCTTGATATCATCCACAACTTCAAAACCTCTAACTGAGTTGTTGTTTCCACCTGCTTCCTTCTCGCTCTCTATCGTAGCAGTGTTGTCCAACAAAAGCGATCCGTCACAACCCTGAACATTTATAGTACGTCAATACTCAAAGTTTACTTGGGAGAGCTAAATCTAGAGGAAAACGCCCACATGACCTAAAACTTGCAGCACTCGTAATATATACCTTGTAGGACGTATACAAATAACCGAAAATGGCAAGTCTACATTTTGACGTTTATACGTGCACAGGTATAATTAGGCTTTATACATACTTGTATACGTACAAAGTAACAAAATGGTAACGATATCTAATATTTAATCAGTGGGAAACAAGAAGTAGCTGCAGACCACGTAAACATATCCATATCGAGAGAGAAACGAGTTAATAGGGAATTAGGAGAACTAAATATTGAGCATAGAAGAAACATGTGTGTATAAATATGAAAAGAGGCGGCGCGTGGTGCCTACGTACAATGACAAAGCAGTCGTGGAAATGAAGGCGAAGGAGGCTGGCGGTGATCCGGGGATCGGTCTGCAGAGCCCCCTCAATGACTCCACGTACAATACTGGTGACGTTGGGACAAGTTTCATTGTAAAATGTTGGAGTTAGCTGAGCAAACCCTCCAACCACAAAGGCAGAGATAAGGGTTACCAGAAAATAGCGTGAGAAAGCCATTTGGGTTCAATACCCGTGGATAATAATATGTGGTTCTCTTGCATTAATATAGACACGGACATGGAAAAGGAGACAGATATTTTAAAATGTATAGTTTTAGGATTCATTCATTGATTCGAATTTTTAATTTAAGTTAAGGGTTATCAGAAAACAGCGTGAGAAAGCCATTTGTGTTCAATATCCGTGGATAATGATATGTCGTTCTCTTGCATTAATATAGACACAGACATAGACATGGGAAAAGGAGACAGATATTTTTAATTTTATAGTTTTAAGACTCATTTAGTTCGTTAGTTTGAGTTTTTAATTTAAATTAAGATGTGACTCTATATGAGAAATTTTTATTGTAGTAAAAAAATTAAATGTTATTGTTTTTGAAAACTTTTTACTGTAATAAAACTCGAATCGATAAAATAAATATGACCTTAAATTTTTATCTTTTATTTTTTATTAATATTTTTTTTAATTAAATAATTATATTAATTAAAAAAATATTAATAAAAAATAATGTGTAAAATTTAGACTCATGTATTTTGAAGTAAGTTCAATAATCTTCTCATAATTAATGAAGGCGGATTGTCCTGCTCAATGAGCTTCAGTTTCAAAACCTAAA